ACTCGGTAACTCACTATCACCTAATTACAAGTCAACCAAGCCCAGCAGCCAAACACGTAATAAACTATGCTGATGTCACTGCTGCTTTGACCTACAGGCGAAGCGATGTAAGTTGCCTTGCACTTCCTCTCCACTCAATCGGGAAACCTTCTAAGCCCCAAATCATGTGCCAATAAGGTTAGCGTCCACAACTCCGGCAGTAGCCCTCTTTACGTTCAGGAATGAAAAGCTGGAACCGGGTTCCTGGTTGTTACCGTGACTGAAGTAAGCGTGGTTCTGCCCGAATCTGGGGAGGCGACTCGGCCGTCCACTCTTAGTCTTCGTACCACAACGGCATACTCATCGCTACTTACGGCCAAAGCTCCATAACCATTAACTTAGCTCTCCGTAGAACATTTCGCTGAGTGGTTATTATCGCCGAGGTTCCGTTTGCTATCATCGGCATAAAATTCCTTAAACATTGCGACCTCTTGGTCGATGCCAAACAAATGAGGATAGTCGACCGCGCCACTATGCTCAGCGTCAATGGCACCAACGCTGACATCTCAGCCACCGCCAACAGATCTCTCCTAGTTACGCCTAACTTTTCTCTCACCACTCTAAACTCGTTTAGCCAATTAACGCAGCTCTGCCTGTGACATCTCAATTCACGCACCATATCCGAACTAACGGCCCACCTGTCTCATCATGTCCGCGCCGTCTTTCGCCGGAGAAGCTCAATCTAGGGCGGAGTTTGAGCATATGCTCGAACTTGGAATAATCCGTGCTTCAAATAGCCTTTGGTGCTCTCCACTCCAGATGGGTAAAAAGAGTTCTGCAGACTGGCGTCCTTGCTGTGACTACTCAGCAATGAATAAACATACGGTCCTCAACAGGTACCCTGGCCCACACACACATGCAGAACCTTACTGCACGCCTTACAAATAGGACAGTCTTTAGCGATATCGATCTTGTTCGTGCCCATCACCAGATACCGGTCGAGAAACCTGACATACCTGAAACTGCCGTCATCACTCCCTTCGGCTTGTTCGCATTTTTGCGGATGCCTTTTGGGGTGTGAAACGCCGCACAGACTTTCAACGCTTCATCCACGATGCCACTCGTGGCCTAGACTTTGTTGACCCCTACCTAGACGACATTCGTGTAGCCAGTTCACTCGACAAAGTGCACCACGCTCATCTGCAAGTACTCTACCAACGGCTGACCCAACATGGCATCACCGTTGACCCAACTAAGTAAGAAGCTCGAAAGGCCAAGGTAGTATTCCTAGGCAACCTCATCACATCGTCTGGAATCGAGGTACTTGCGGACGAGCTCCAAAGTGTTCCCCAGTCCGACTTCATTTAAACATTGTCGATTTTATGGTCTAGACACCTACTATCGACGCTTCATCCCCCGCTGCGTTTAATTTATGCAGTCTTTAACCGATCTTCTCAGAGGAAACGAGCTTACGTTCGCTTTCCCCGATACAGCACCCACGGCTTTCAGCGAGCTCAATAATGCTATCTGCAACATAGCTCTCCTCGCTCACTCCGAACCGTCTGCTTCACTTTCTCTTAAAACTGACGTTTTAGATGTTGTACTAGGAGCTGTGATTACCAACAACACGTTGATGAGCAGTGGTATCCACTCGGTTTCTTCTGCAAACGCCTACAACCGGCGGAATCTCGTTACAGCACCTTTGGTAGAGAACTGCTTGCCATCTACTTAGCTAACCGTCACTTCCGGCAAACATTAGAGGCTCGGGCTTTTAAGGTCTACCCGGCTAACAAACCTATCATTTTCGCCTTCAACTCATCTTCTAACAAATATTCCCCACGGTGAACTAGACACCTAGACTTTGCCACGCAGTTCCTCCGCATACTACGGACGGAACTATCCTTTGTGACACTTCCACGGGTTGTTCTAGACCCCTCGTCCCCGCCTCTTTCAGTCGCACAGTCTTCGACACCTTTCATGAACTGAGTCATCCAGACAATCGGGCATCTTTAAAACTTGTCACCGAGTGTTTCTGTTGGTCAAGCGTAAACAAATATGTTCGTATTTGCGTCCTAGTTTGTTTGCACTGCCAGCGCTCCAATGTGCATCGACACACACCTGTAGTCCTCTCGGCGCATTCTCTGTGCCGGATTCGCGGTTCTCTCACGTACACTTACACTTGGTAGGACGTTTGCCTCCCTCTCGCGGATCTGTATACATAGTGACGTGTTGACCGCTTCACTAGATGGCCAGAAGCCATCCCTGTATCAGACTGCACGGCCGAAACAGTCATTCGTGCGTTTTCGGACCGTTGGGTGCCCCACTACAGATGTTCATCTACTATCACTACCGACCATGGAACACCTTTCGAATCTGCGTATTTCGAGATGTTCTACGACTTCTTAGATTGCCACCATATCCACACGACAGCATATCATCCAGCGGCGAATGGCTTAGTCGAAAGCTTTCATCGACAGCCTAAGTCCTCTCTGTGCCACGTCTGACCCGGACTGGAGCGAAAACCTACCGGGATGGTTCCACGAGTGGCCGTATTACTTTAACTGGACATCTGTTTAAATCTGCATATGTTAGTGTTCCTGGTTTTTAATTTCTTTAATGCCTTAATCCTGCCAATTAGTTTAGTACCTGCTTTGGATCCATTGTAAAAAGCGTGAACAAATTGATTACCTTTTTGCGATCCTGTTGTACACATTAATCAGACCACATAGTTGGACTGCACCTCGAATCACCGAGGAACATACCGTTTATTTATTTATCTGCAGCAACAACAAAGCTGGCCTGCAGTGCGCATCAGCAGAGCTGGTCTATAGCACAATGCTTAAGCTGCCAGGAAAGACCATTTGGTTACCCTCGCCACCGTGTATGCCACCTTTCTCAACGTATGCCTTCGCTGAGCCCGACCCCCCTTAGTGAGCGGACCAGAGATGTACAAATGCATAGTAGACTCTCTAGCTGCATTCGCCTCTTCGTCCACACAGATGCAGTGAGTCGCCCGCTTCAGCTTTCCTCCACCGATCTCTTCAAATTTCTCCAACGAACTCCTAAGAACTTTACCTTAGACCCGAATGGTCACCGAACAACGGTGTCCATTGATTGTCTCAAGGTTGCATTCTTTGAAGATTCGCCCTAAACTTCACCTAGTACAGCCGCACAAGTAAACCCACCTGCAGGTGCATCTTCCGTACCAGCCACCCTAGAACCTTTCGTTATCCGTGACCCGCCGCTAACCCAGCTCCAATCCCAGGCAACTGACCGACACGGTAGATAGGTCAGACGCCCGGTCCGTTTTCCGATTTGTTAATGTTTGCTGTATCCCTTGACATGCTACTTTCCACCTTTTATTATAATCGTCTGTTTTATTCACAAAAGTTTTGCAAGACGACAAAATAAGTCAAACTCATTTTAGAAAGTCAAAAAAGTGTACACCTGATGTTTCGTATACATGCTGCGTTTCCCATACGGAATCGTGCCGCCTGTTTCGACCACGTCCCACCCTCGCCAAGTTGTACATACCAGAACTCAAATTACCTGCCCAAAGCCTCCAGCCCCATCATCCTGCCAACAAGCGACCGCCACTCCCCACCACCGGTGCGACAATGGCTTGTTGGCCCGCGAGCTCTTATGAACGGATCTCCAAAGACGATGTCCGGGAATCTTCATGGGACGAGGATCGTCATCGTCGTGGACTTGGGTGCGGTGGGAGGAGTGACACCTCCCAAGCGCACAGTCTGATCTACAGCGGAGGAAATATCCTTTCCGCCCTTTTTATTGACTATCCAGTTTGTAGTCCGACCATCCCGCCTCGACGGCCTACCGATGATGCACTCCGGTACACGCCCAAATGACAACTAACAAAGAAGCCTGGACCCAACAAACTCCACGCGCTCTCTCCTCCCTTGTGGCAACGACGATTGCTACTCAAACCACCCGTTCTCAATCTGTCTTTTTCCATGACATATCTGTCAAAGGCTTCTGCATTCAGCCTTCCAGTGGTAGACCCCTGTAGTGAACATGTATCATTCACGCATTCCTTATTTTGAGACATTGGATTTTATTATTGTTTATATCTTCCGACCGTCCATTTGTTTAACTGATTGCACTTACCGATCACTTAGTCATCTGGATAGTCATGTTGCATACTGCTGTCTGCTTACCTGACCTCCATCCTTTGCAGGTTTTGTCAATACACCTTGAGTCCAGAAGATCAAACTGTTCGCCATAGTTCCATACACGGCACGTCGCTTACGTGCCACCTCCGGCGATTAGAATCTGAGTAGCAACTCACAAGATATTCCCTCGATGGTTTTCACTTCTATGCTCCAACTGACTGTGTGCCAGTGTGACAAAATATCATGTAAGCCATCATCTGCTTAACAAATTGATTGTTTATTATATGTGGGCTGTTTGAGGAGGAATTTATCCGGATGCTCATTTGCTCTTAGAGCGTCACTGATTCCCTGCAATCTATCGGTGATAGTGTCCGGTGTGAAAACGCTGCGAGCCCGGAATGTAAGAGTACGGAATAGGTTCGCTTTGTACTGTAGTGATACCTCTGTTGTAAAGCTGCCTTCGTACCGCTGCACTGCTGCTATTCTGCGCCTGCGAGACTACGACCGCCGGATTGCTCAGTCACGCGCCCAACCAACCGCCGGGATACAGAAGGTCAAGGCTCGGTAAACAGGGAGTCTATTCTACACGACAAGTCAGTTCTATTTATTAATGAACGAAACATACTAATCTTGGAAGCGTTTGGCTCTCAGCCAATGTGAGTTAATTCCGTCCCATGGATTTTCCCTATTTGGCGGAATGGTTCGCCTCCGTTGACTCGGGCTTGTATTTGATGGCCAATCAGTTTGTACCCGATTCCCAAAGGTCGAAGGTCGTTTCACTGTCGTGCTGGTGACCTTCGCATGCAGCAGACAGCTCACATGCTCCTCGGTAAGCCTGTACGCGACCTCGTGTCTGCAGATTGGCTCCGCTTACCTCTCTATTAACCTCATTATAGAATTTGGTGTATTTCTCAGTCCAAATGTGACGAGAGTTACTGAAAAGAATTCTTAACTGGTGATCTGCTTTCTTCTGAGCAAATTCAAGGAAGCAACAATTACAGGTATCTCAGAGATAACAGCAAAGTGGTAGGCTTAAACGAGCGTTGTGTTATTGCACCAGGCAATCCGATGGCACGATAATGGAATCATTTATAGGTTCGTTGTTTGTGGAAATCTGTATAAGGACTGAAAGGAATGTCTCAGTAAGATCAATCATCTCTGGTTTGAAATTCAACCGATGGTAAGTGGATGAAATAATCAGAATACGCGGGCAGACAGACAATTCGCAAGGCGTAATCGACTATTTCAACGAGGCCCACATAAGTATCAGCTTTACAACCGAAGAACAAAATAACAATTACTTGGATGCAAGTCTAAAGAAAAAAAGACAGGAGAAATCTAAATAAAAGATACAGGAAACCCTACCGGACGTTAACTTTTAATAAAAACTCCACTGAAGTAGAGCTAAGACGAATCAAGGAAGCAGATCTTGAAAACCGGCATTCAGAGACGCTTCATTGAAACCCATTTGAAGCAAAACAACCTCAAAGCACTGGTGTAAACGGTTACAAAAGTTACAGCTGCTTCTGATGTTCCCCATATATGAAACAATCCAGCTAAACACTGCTCGCGTAGGAAAGTGCAAACCTGAAACAAGCGTTTCCCTTTATACTTCCGAAGATAAAAATCAGAAGATATAGATTGTGAGATGACGCCGTCAGCTCATGCATTCGCATCAATCACAAAACCTGCAACTTTGGAATCTAAACAAACGGTGATCACAGATGGCAAAGCGCTTAGACTACCAAGATAGAGTTGGAGACAATGTCAGCTGTTTTTGAGTGTGCAGCGTTGGTCATTCGCGATCAATAACGATAGCCTCCAATAACCTAAGGATTTGGGCCCGTTGATCGCGCATTAGGACTGTGAAGGACTCATCAGGATTGAATTGGCGACCAGTAGTCAGCAAGTGCCTCTGATTGCTGAGATAGCTGAGTTTCCCGAGTCAAATTATCCCGTCACCACATATCCCATCAGGTTGCGTAACCAGTTTGTGCTGTGTTCATTGATTCTGACACCTAGAACACCAGACGTGCAGTCTCCACAGTTAAGCGTAAATTTGTATAGGCAGTGAGACATACACTGGTTGGTCATTGGTGTCTTAATCGAACACATTGGCATAGGTATAGTCGAGATGAACAGCCGCAATTCCGCCGTATTGTACCTCTTTTCAATGAAGCACTTGTGCTTTGCTCGGTACGTTTCATCACACTGTCACCTTTAAAATGTAGCTCAATGAAACTGGGCTTCTTTGGGACTTTGTAAGTAGTAGGGGGATTTCTTTTGTTTTATGAATATTCGTCGCAGTTAGACTCGGGCAAACAGTCACCACACATCCAGGAAAGCACTTTTTGTATGTGGAGTGACTGCCTGTCTGGTTCTAACTGCGACGGATCTTCACAAAATCGGATAATCCCCCTGCTACTTACAAGTAATCAGTAATTACCTTAGCAGCTTACATGCCACCTCAATTGGGGATGGCTTGCAACGAAAGTCGTAATTGGGGGTCAGGCGTGTCCTCTGCACGTTCATAAGACGCATGACAGTGTAGGATAAGCCGCGCTGTATCGCAGTTAGATATCAGTCACGGCGATCTGCTGCAGTAGTCCCATGGCTCAGTGATATAAGTCGTTGGCTCGCAAGAGTAAGGTCGTGGGCTCGAATCCGGGAGGATTCGACGAGTTCGCGCTACTGATGAGTCCCAATAGGACGAAAGGCGCTTTCCTGGATGTGTGGTATCTGTCTGCCTAAGTCTACCTGCGACGAATCTTCTTTGGGACTGTCAGCGCATGATCTTGCTTGTTTGTTTTACAGTGGCGTTCAATAAATCTTGACGGATAACCGTTGGATTGCAACGCGTTGTATAGCAAGTTCTTTACTGTCACTATGGTTTCTGGGGTGTTGATCATGTGAGCCCGATAAAATGGTGTCCAGACGAGAGAGCGTTTGTGTTGGATTGGGGAGAAACTCGTACAATGCCAGTCGAGATTGGCTTTCTGAATACAGACCTTCTGATGGAACTGTCTGGCCGTCGTTGCAATCCAGCTGTTCTCCGTTAAAGTTTATTGAACATCACAAGGAAACAAACAAGCAAGCCCGTGCACTTCGCTATCTTTTATAGGTGACAGTGTGATGAAACGTACCGAGCAAAGCACAAGTGCTTCATTGAAAAGAGGTACAATACGGCGGAATTGCGGCTGTTCATCTCGACTATACCTATGCCAATGTGTTCGATTAAGACACCAATGACCAACCAGTGTATGTCTCACTGCCTATACAAATTTACGCTTAACTGTGGAGACTGCACGTCTGGTGTTCTAGGTGTCAGAATCAATGAACACAGCACAAACTGGTTACGCAACCTGATGGGATATGTGGTGACGGGATAATTTGATTCGGGAAACTCAGCTATCTCAGCAATCAGAGGCACTTGCTGACTACTGGTCGCCAATTCAATCCTGATGAGTCCTTCACAGTCCTAATGCGCGATCAACGGGCCCAAATCCTTAGGTTATTGGAGGCTATCGTTATTGATCGCGAATGACCAACGCTGCACATTCAAAAACAGCTGACATTGTCTCCAAGTCTATCTTGGTAGTCTAAGCGCTTTGCCATCTGTGATCACCGTTTGTTTAGATTCCAAAGTTGCAGGTTTTGTGATTGATGCGAATGCACGAGCTGACGGCGTCATCTCACAATCTACATCTACTGATTTCTATGTTTAGAAGTGTAAATCTGTAAAACGACTTTCAGTGCGACTATCTGAACGTAATATTTAAAAGCAAAGACCCAAATGCCCCTAGATTTAAATCCGGGGAGTCTGATCATCTCCAATCGGTACTAAGCTACTAGTACACTTCTCCTTGTGGGTTCAAAAGCGTTAGACGAACGACCAGGCTTTGGGTGAACGAACCAAGGAACACCTTCCGAGTTGGTCCAACAACCAAAAATATATTGTGGATAGCTGCGTTATAACTTGTCTCCTCCACACCGGACGTCAAATTGACAGACAAAATCATTTCCAGATTCTATTCAAAATATCAGTCACGTAGGGATATGGCCTGAGGGGCGAGGTTGATTAAGACCGCAGTCGGTGTGCATGCAATCAACGAGACCCGATCTATGCGTGCAAAAGAAACTGGAACACGCATGAGTAATGCCCATGTTAAGATAAGAAGTCCAAACAGCGAAGATATATCTTTTCGTTTATTCTCATCAGGCCATTACAATAATAATATAAAAACATACAACGTCCTAAGCTGCTGTCCGCTACGCTGAGGACAGCTAAGCCGAGAGTTTGAACAGAGTCAATAAGTCAGATCAATGTCTAGGTCAATTCACTTAGGGTAGGCCTCGCAGCCGATTGTACGCCGCCTAGTGGAACAGCCGTTGCAACTGCCATCTCCGACCACAAGAATAGAAGGATGGCAGCCCAGTCAGCAGATTCACACAGCTACGAGCATATGATAAACCGACCGACAACATGATCATATCTTGAATAATCTAAGCAAATATCTCATCTTTGAGCTAATGAATAAAGTCAACACCGTTCCAATCTAACAGCATAAAGAAGTAATGGTCAAAAACAGTTGTTTGTTTTTAGTCTAGTGCTTTCGTTGTTCTTCCTGGCATCTTAAATTACAGGTATTTTGTTCACACATTCAACTGATCGATATCCTCACGTGACCCACGAAAGGCGGTTGAGACACTGCGGCCTAACTGTGTCTAAACGACAGCGCGCACTTTTGCCCCACATTAAATCACCGGAATATCGCACGCGTTCAGCTCAAAGGTGCGCATACGGTTAGATGAATGAAGAACTTTCACATTCCATTGGCTAAAGTGGGCCAAACGGAAGCGTAATCACATGCGAGTGGCATGAAGCACGAATTCGACGCACGGATCTAATGCAAAGCAGGCAGATCAAACGGACACATAATGTTACAGTTTAGTTTTGTCACAACCGTTTCGGTTTATGACGTGAGTTGACAATAAACAAGTTGACGCAACCGGAGCTTTGAAAGCAGAGGATGCTACTGCAATCGCTCACGCTGCCGTGGGCATGAGAAGGATCCATCCGCATAGAGCATTGATGAGACAAAAGGTAGCATCACTTCTCGGCTGACCCAATTTGCTTCGCGAAGTGCTCAGCGAACTGTGTTAATTGGGATCAAATAAGATCAGCCTTCATCGACAGCACAGGCTTTACTAATTGGCCCGATCGATCTAACTTCCGTTCGAATGAATTCAGACTCCCTACTTTCGTTTCAGCTTTCGTTAGCTTATGCGTATCCCAGTAATAGTTGAGAACGTAGTTGCCTGGTGTGAGTTACCGAAAAGGGATCTCTTTGCAAACGTGTTTTCTTACATTCCTACGGGCATTATCTACGAATAAACAAGAGGCCACTGTGCCGATAAGCGTAATGCACACTCAGAACAAGGTAACACCCACTCTCAAAACGCAATAGTTACAGTCCCTTTCGATCAGCGCTCAGTGGATTGCGAAAGGCAACTCATCAGAGAGAGCATTATGAAGGTCAAACGTGAGGCGGTTAAAACAGCCTCACCCGCTGCATTTTATAAGGTGGGGAAACGTGTTAGGAGCGCCAGAGAAAAGCACCATCGTCCGCGAAGACAAATGGCGGATGGTTCTATTTTAAGCCGGTGCAAGGACAGTATCCATACGGAGACGAAATACGACTGGCGCACTATGTTGCAAAACTCTGATATTTAAGAGAAGGTTAAGTGACGGACAGGTTAAGAGTTCCGTGTTGGAGCCCCCTTTTCCATATGAAAAGTGTTCGAAGGTGGAATTCCATAAGGTCGGCAGGAGCACCAAATGAATCTCCTACCCACAACTTATCCGTAGAGATAGATCCGTTTAGTCGGCCGAGATATATGGAAAATTTAGGCACCTAAGGTTGCTCTAAAGCTATCACCCGATTTATATACTATACAGAACAAAGAAGGACTAAGGGGGTCGAAAAAGATTGTCTTCGAAACTTTGAAGGCAGTAATACAATAGTCAAACTACCAGTATGCTTAAGATGCTGGAACTGAAACTGAGCGAACGGACGCCATGGCATTATGAACCCAAATCGGCTCCAAATTTCT